CCCCAAAACCCCAAAACCCCAAAACCCCAAAACCCCAAATATAATTTTTTAAATTGAAAGCAAACAATAACACAAAAAAATGTGTACAGATTTTGGGTGAGCATGTTACGATGTAATTAGACTAGTCCTTGATCATCCTGTTTGGTAGGTTCTTGTCAGATTCCTTTCTTGATGTCTTCTTTTTGCCGAAGATAAACTGATAGATCACGTATGAGGAGCCTCCCATTCCTAAGAGAGTGATTACAAATAGGAGGAAATGAGCGAGACCCTTAGAGTAAGCCCTGAATCTTTTGGAGTATTTCAGTTGGACTAAGAACAGTACAATCATTAGAGAAAGTCCTCCAACACTGTTGATAAACATGAGTCTTCTTCTAATCTTTCTGAATTTTTTGTGGAGGATCATTTTTAAGAGGCTCTGAGGGTCTTTCAAAATTGTTCCGATTTTCATCGGTTTTTGAGGGACAGATTCGCAGTCCGAATCCTCAGCATCTATAAAGTTAGAGATAAGTCCTACCTGAGGCTATATTTTTATTGATTTCTTCTTGCTTCTTTTTGAAAATGTAGAAGTTATCCCAGAAAACGTCCTCTTCTGGAATTTCATTCGAATTAAAAATAGTGCCTATAATGATTTTAGAGGCTTACTGAATTTGAATTTTGTGCCTTTGCCTTGGGCAGTAACTATTCATCCAAGAGTTGAGAGTTGCTGGTGGTTCAGAATCGTTCTCTGTTGCCCAATAAGCTCGTCTCTGTTACTGGTAAGCACAACTGTTTCAAGATTCAGAAGATCAAAATAGTTGCTGTTTTCAGCTCCAGGGTCTGAGCTACCCTTAAATCCTGGAGAAGTAGATATTGGAATGACTTTGAAAGAGAAAGGCTCGTCCAGGTTTAGAGAATCTATTGCTTCAGCCTTAACCATCTGATCGTCTACTATCTCTTCTTCAAGATTAATCTGCTCTTCAATGTTTTTAGTTTCTTCCTTGGTCATGGTGTGATTGACGTCATCGGTGACATGAATTATCTCTGACGATAAATGGTTATTGGAAGTAGAGTTTTCAATGGCAGGATCTGCCTTAGGGTTCTCGACCTTCTTCATTTCCTCTCCAAAATCATTATCAGAGTCATACCTTTTATCAAACCTATAATCTTCTGAAATATCCTTGGCTGATCCAAGACTAAAAGAGGAGTCATCGAGGTGATTCTTGGCTTGTTCGTCTGACCGAGTGGAACCATTAGATCCCTGATTTTCATTTTGTGGCATCCTCTCTTTAGCTAGCTTAGACTCCTGATAGTTGTTCTTAAGAGTCTGGTTTACCTTCTCTGGGAGCAAGTGCAACAGACCCTTCTTGAAGATTACCTTTTTCATTTGGTCGTGAGGAAGCTCATCAATCATTTTCTTAGCCTCCATTGGTGATACATCATATAGGAATGGCTTCATCATTGCTGAGAGATATAGTGTGATCGTTGGGATAAACCAGATGTCTCAAAGTATATCAAAAATCGACCTTTGAAGCAGCAGCTTAAGCAATGAGGGAGAAAGATAGTTTAGCGGGCCTTTACGATAGATTTGAAACACTTTTAGCCCAACACACCCCATAATAAGCCCTAGAAGGATGCTTGTGTACAGTCCTAAAGTGTTGAGAATCAGCAAGGAGATTCAGACTAAAAGAATCCTGTTTCAATTGTTGATCAAAAAGTCGAGGGAGGAGTAAAGACCTCATCTGCTTATAGCATCTAAGATTATGTCCTGAATATTGGTCATTGCTGCAATTATTATAATTTATATAATTCAACTTAGATGAGTGCACAAGGGGTTTTGGGGTTTTGGGGTTTTGGGGTTTTGGGGTTTTGGGGTTTTGGGGTTTTGGG